CTGCTCTCAAGAGTTTCATAAATAAGTCACTGTAATTCTTTGGGATAAACCTACCAAAGAGTAAGCCTGAGGTGCTGAGGTTACTGGAAGGACTAGGGACTCAGGGGAGGAATCTTAGAGGTGGTGAGATTTAGGTAGTAATAGTAGGGCCCAGGCAGACAGAGGGGTGGGAAGGTGAAGGAAAAGGACCCAGGATGTGAGGATATGCCCCACAGGTGGGGACTGTGTTGCTCAGTTTGGCTGGGGCTCAGAGTCAGGGAGTGGACAAGCCTGAGGTGAGAGGGGGCCTTGCTGGGGTGCCAAGGTCTGTCCTGAAGGCAGCAGGACAGTGGGAACTAAGGAAGTGCCTTGCAGGAGTAGCGATTCATCAGGTTGCTGTCTGGGACAAGCACCCCCACAGCAGCACAGAGGACGCACTGGAGGGAGAACGTGACTGTGGCCACCAGGGAAGTCTGCAGTGATGGGGGGCGGAGGAGGGTCATCATAGCAGCTGGGAGCAGCACAGTCAAGAGGGGATTAAAAGAACCTGGGATACCCTACAGGGAGCCTTGGCAGCACTGTGAAGTTAATACGGTGATGCCCATCCAGGGGTAATTTTGCCCCCACCCCCTGGGGTGGATGCTACTGGCCTCTTGTAGGTATGGGCTGGGAAAGCTGATAAATATCTGCAATGCACAGGACAGTCCGCCACAACAAAGTGCCATCCAACCCCAAATGTCAATGGTGCTGAGGCTGAGAAACCCTGTTGACTGGCCTGGGTGGAGAGGAAGTGTGTCTCCATCTACTGGGTTGGAAGATGGGGGAACAGCTGCTCCAGAGAGAGGGAGGCAGTGGCTGCAGAGGGGCATGGTCAGAGCTGTGCAGGCGCAGATGTCCTGGAGGCAATTGGAGCCTCAATGTTTATCTGCAACGGTCCAGTGCAAGCTCATGCACAGATGAGGAAACTGAGGCACAGAGTGTTTAACTCTCTAGCTCACTATAAGTGGCAGAGCAGGGTCTAGAACCAGCGTCCTAATTCCTGGGCCACCACTTTTCTCCAGACCTCAAAGTAAAGCTCCTATGTCCCTAGATCAGAAGGGCCGGGAGGGCCACACAGCTCCGTCCTGTGGTGCTCCAAAGCCCAAGGTGGGAAGAGAAGGTGGGACAGGACTTTCTTCGTGTGGATTCCTGTCCTCCCCTGGGCGACATTTTCCATATGGTTAATACAAGGGTCCAGCTACACCTCTGGAAAGGCCCCCATTCTCTTCCCAAGGCCTCCCAGGCACAGCAGAAGCCTCACTGTCACTTTGTTTGTTCAACAAAAGTGAATAATGTGGTGGCCACAGTTCTCAGTGCTTTACACATATTAGCTCATTTAATCCTCACAACAGCCCCACAAGGCAGGTGCTATGATCATCCCCATTTTACAGATGGGGAAACTGAGGCACAGAGAGGCTAAGTCACTTATGCAAGATCACACAGCTTGTGCACAGAATGGTGGACCCCGGGTCTGAACCCAGGCAAGCTGGCTCTAGTCTAGGCTGTTAGTCTCTGTCACGCTCAGCCTTTCCAACACACTGAGGTGTAAATGTGCCAGGTCCCCACCCAAGGCAGGGGCTCAAAAAGGAAGGGTGCTCAAGAGGGAGCCAGGGGGGCACGTCTCCCCATGTGTGCTGCTCAGGGTAAGTTCCCTCAGGCAGTCCCACCCTCACTTCTTCTGAGACCACCATCCTCAGCTGCCTCTTCAGTCTTGTACCAACTCTGTTTTCTCCAACTCTCAGGGAAATGGAGTAACACCCCCACCCCTCCCCAGCTGCTGGGGTCCACTGTACAGCTGGGGTCCCTGCCAGGGCTTTTCTGCATGGGAGCAGCCAGAACCACAAGAACTGCCTCCCAGAAGCTCTCTGAGGTGTACACAGAAAGACACAGAAGCCAGAAAACCACCTGGCCGTGGTGTGATAGCCGCTGGACACAGGTGTGACCCACCCAACGGGTCTGACGCAGGGAGGTCCCAAGGCACGCCCCTTCCCTCGAGTCCTGGCCCCACAGGAGCCTGTGGGGAGCATGTGCCACAACTCCTTGCACGGCCTGTTTGACCAGCTTGCCTGCAGCAGAGAAAGGAAGACGCGGGGCAGGCGGGGGCGCGGGGAGAGGAAAAAGTCAGCCCTGGAGCTCTGCGGAACAGAAACGACACTACCCCGAGTGTTCACCTCCAGCCCCCTAGCTCCCACCCAAGGTTCTGTGGCTATGCTGGGAAGCCCTGAAGCTGAGGATCACAGGAGTCCCCAAATTCCTCTTTCCAGGTAAGAGTGTGGCCAGGTGGCTTTGTTGTCACCATTTCTGAAACCCTCTAGATTCAGACGCGTTCACGCTTGTGCCAAGGGCTGTGAGCTGCCATGAGCATCCGTCACTCCCAATCAAACAGCATGCTCCACCTGCCAGCCCGCAATGGAGACAGCGGAAATAAGACCCAGCAAGGCTGCCAGCCCCTGCCTGCTGCTGTCAGGGAGCCCACATATCTGTCCCCTGAAAACTAGCTCCAGGCTACAGGCAGAGAAGCAGGAGCTTCAGAATCCAGCTTCATTCTTGCTCCGGACCCACCACCCTTTGCTGCCCAGGCCTGGAAATTTCTGCTCTGTGAATCAGATAGCATGTGAAGTGGTTCACCTCATCCCTGCACATCACGGACAGCGAAGTTCACGTCCCAGCCTCCCGAGACCTGAGCCATCCCTTTCCCCTGAGCGTCTCCTTCTTGGGAAACAATGAACTCTGGAGGATCAGAACCCAGGGAAAAAGGCTGGGCATGGGAGAGCAGTATTGTGTGGAAGGGAAAGGGCACCAAGGCCTGGAGACATGTGGGCCAAGGTCAAGGCCAGGTGGTACACTGGGAGGTGTCCTGGGCTGGCAGCCACGAGACCCAGGTTCAAGTCCTGGGCTCTACTCTAAACTTGTTTTGTGACCTTTGGTCAGTCCCACCTTTGCTGTTTCCTTGGCAAAAAATTATCCAAGGCATGAGTGTTTACTTCAAACCCCTGGGGGCACTGGTTCAGAGGCAGACTCTCCAGTCTGTCCCCAGAGAGAACGGCTGTCAGTCTGGGATTCCACCCAGGAATCTGCATTTTAAACAAAGGTCTTGGAGGCTTCAGAATACACTTTGCAGACTCCCTCATGAGAAGCAATGATATGGGTCAGCAGGAAGGAACAGGGAAGGCAGGGATGGACAAGGTGTGAGGTCCCAACAAGGGTCCCTCTCAACCCACTCTGACCACACCCAAAGCTCTGGCTGTGAGATGGAGCCCAGCAGGTGCCCCACCCCATGTCCTGGGCACCATCGCTAAGCGCCTTTAAGGCAGCCCTCCATGACATAACACTATACTTCTCATTTTGCATTTTTGTTTTTCTTCTAGAATTCAAATATGTCCCCCACTCCCACCCCCCTCTTGCTCCTCCCTCTCCTTTTTATGTATTTCAGAAGACTTTGGAGAGCTCCGGCTGTGCGCCAGCATTCTGGGGCATTTTGTGACAATCTGAAGATGGGCACTGTACCCTCTGGAACTCTGCACCTGGGCCTGCCTACACCCCCTCCCCACCAGCTCCATCAGCTCTACCAGTAACAGGGAGGCTGCTGCGACCCCCTAGTCCAAGCAGGCTGAGCCATTCTGCCCAGCCCGTGGAGGCACCCTCCAACACCACAGGGCGTCCAAAGGAGCTCATGACACAAGGTACCCAAGCCAGATTCAGAAGGGACACTGTGCTGAGTAAGGGCATAGATTTCAAATCCTGATGTTTCCTACTAGGTGACCGTGAACAAGGTGCTGCTCTGTGTCTCAGTTTCCTCATCTGTAAACAGGGTGATGACAGTGGGTACAGAGCACTTACTATGTGCAGGCCGTGTTCTAAGTGCTTTCCATGGATGGACCTATTTAGTCCCTACACCATCCCTAAAGCACAGACCACCCTCCATTTCCCCACTTTATAGATATTGACTGAGATGGAAAGAAATCAAGACACTTACCCCAGGCTGCCACACAGTCATTCATATAACTGACTCTTCGGCTTCAGAGCACACATTCATCATGGCTATACTATATTGATTCTATGACTCACACTTCATATAGCTAACGGACAATTAAATGAGCCACTTGGATACTACTTGTGCATAACAAATGCACACAAACATAGCAGCAATTGCTATTGTTAATTGTTTGCCTAAACTTTTTCTCCCAAAGCAGGATGTGCAGCCTGGATGAAGCAGAGGAATGCACCCATTCTTGGTTTTGTCTCCACAGGGGTGGTCAGAATGGCTCAGAGCTGTGTGAGCTGGAGTCTGAGAGCAATCCCCTGTTCCCTGCTCTCCTACACTTGTGCCAAAATAGCAAAGCTGGGACCACACTTCTCAGGTCTGTGCCCATCAGGACACAATGATGTCTAGCCCCACCTGCCCCAAGCACAGGGCTGAGGAGTGGAGGTGGGGCGTGGGGCTCCCCCTCATCTCCACATAGGGACTTGGCAAGCATCACGAAGTGCCCTGGGAGGCAGCCTGGCCACTCTAGGCAGAAGCTGCCTGCTCTCATCAGGAATTCCTAAGAACTCTATTCTTAGAGCACTTTCTCTTGGTTTTAACTTTGACATCTTCCAGAAGTTACCCCGCACAAAAGCAACCCTGCCGCCGCTGTAATTTACACGTCACATCACTTGTGCTGAGTGCAGTCCACCCCCTTCAACCCACTCCCGCATGCGTACCTTCCCCTCCTGCCCTGAAAAAATGGCTTCTGCATCATCCCAGCCACCCTCCTTCCACTTGTGCACCAGGGGAGAAGTCAAATGTGAAATTGACAGAAGAATGGGAGGTGGGAGGGGGGCGTGGATGAGGAACTTCAGCGAAATCCCAGCTTTGGAACTTCCCCCTTTCCAGGTTGGGCATGACTTCTGCTTGGCGGTCCACATCGCCATGGCAACAGCCCAGCCACATGCCCCAGTTCACAGCCCAACCCTAGGAGCGCCCCTCGGGAGTTACTTACTGTGATGGTGTTCTCCTTGGTCTGCCTTTTGCTTGGTGATGAGGATCCCAGGTTCTGGGGAGACAGGCAAGAAACATCGTCAAAGCTGTTCTCCATATTGGACATTTTTCCCCCCCATTCAGGTTCCCTGAGAGTGGAGGCGCTGGGGAAGTTCAGGGATGCTCAGCCTGCTGCCAACTCCTAAGTCACCATATTCTGGGTCAGGGCAGGCAGGGGTCTCCCTGACCGCACGCGGTTCTCACGCCCAGCTCTCAGGCTGAAGGCGAACTCAGGAAGCCTCCTGCACAGGCTCTGAGAGAACTCCTCCAAAGCAGGTCTCCCCTCCTCTTCTCTCAGTCTGCGATTTGGGGAGTTAACCCTTCCGCCGCCCTCTGCTGGTGAATGTTCCACGGGCCGCTTGCTGCCTGAAGCCGCGGAATCCACTGGGGAGACGAGAGTTAAGGCCATCACCTCCCGGCACTGAAGACTCAGCACACGACATTTTATTCTGAAACGCCCCGGGTCCAAAACATCAAACCGAAATACACATGATGTACACTGGGGCACTGCTGGGTCACCTCCCCTACTCGCCGCTCCCTCAATCCTGTGAGCCAGGAGGGATTTCTCAGCCAAGCCGACTTTTAGCTTCCATTCAATCTTTAGATTGCCTTTTGACGTCTTCCATCACCAGCAAGAAAACCAGAGTCCCAAGTACCTCTGAGCCCTGGGGTCCTCAGTAGATTGCCAAAGTCCTGGAATCTTTCTGGTAGAGAAAATTAAGGACTGCCAGCGGAACAGGCCACATATGTCCTAATATCCTATGACTCTAAAGAGAATATTTGATCCCAGTTCTCTATTGTTCTATTAGCAATTATGTTAGGGGTTCAATACCAGAGATCCCCAAGCAGGACCTAGGGTGTCTTCTGTCCTGAGCCACAAAGCAATCTGGAAAGCAGGCTTCCCCCTCAGGCACTGCAGGTGGCCATCACATGTGTGCCCCAGGACTTGTGCACAGCCTTACTCTTTTTCTTTTTTTAAGGTGGAGTCTTACTCTGTCGCCCAGGCTGGAGTGTAGTGGTGTGATCTCAGCTCACTGCAACCTCTGCCTCCCAGGTTCAAGCAATTCTCCTGCCTCAGCCACTTGAGTAGCTGGGCTTACAGGTGCCTGCCAGCACACTAGGCTAATTTTTGTAATTTTAGTAGCCAGGGTTTCATCACGTTGGCCGGGCTGGTCTCAAACTCTTGACCTCACGTGATCCACCGGCCTCAGCCTCCCAAAGTGCTGGGATTCCAGGTGTGAGCCACCACGGCCGGCCTGGCCTTACTCTTTCCTTGGTAGAATGTAGGGAAGTGGCTGTCACTTTATAGATAAAGGCCAGAGAAAGCATGGAGGGGCTTCTCCAACAAGAGGGAAACAATAGCTTGGGGTGGAGGGCACCCTGCCCCCCAGGCCAGAACAACCCTGGACACCTGGCCGAATGACCATCTACAGGTGAGGGCCAGCCTTTGCCTCAGAAATGCATCAGTAATTTAGGCAAACCAGGGAGCTTGACTGTGTCCCTGCTAAGGTGTCATTCCCTTATTCCCATACAGTTCTTCTTGGGTTGCTCATTAAAGTCACCTCAGGAAAACTGATATCCTTAGGGTGCCTAGCAAAAAGGAACCTTACAGAGAAATCAGTTTCACAGACAAGACAACGATTACCAGCCTTCAGACCCTGGCCTGAGAATGTGACTTCTTTGAGCCTCGATTTCTTCATCTGTAAAATGGATAGGCTATCTCTGGTCCTCAAGCTTTGAGGTGCATCAGGATCAATGGAGGAAAGTGTCCAAAATACAGTCCCAGCTGCTGGGTCTGATCCAGAGGGTCCCAGGTGGCGCCAGCATCTCTGATTTGCAGAATCTGTGGACCTCACTCGGAGGCACACAGATGTGATCTACTCTGTGGTTCATTGAGGTCCCTCTGTTTAGGGCAACTCCTCTAGCGACCCCAACAGGCTCCCAGCCAGAGTCAACTTGACGGCCAACTACAGCTTCCACAGACATTTTTAATGCGTCATCTCATCCAGTGGCCCACCCTATACCTTCCCAAGGTGTCAGCTCTGCCAAATTTCAGCAACGTAACAAAACTGCCGAAGGAGGAAGGCAGACAGAGGCTACATGGGAGGAGGTACCAGTCACCAAGAGAAGAGACAGGAAGAGGAGTCTCTCTCTCCATAGGTTCATTCACGTACAGACACTAGCCAAGCAAATACCTGCCAGGAAGGGGAAAGGGTAGCCTCTGGGATGGATTCTGCCGTCTGCAGGAGTCTGTCTTCCTGTCATGGACACATTACCACCATCACCACCATGCTCCCACTGCAGCCCCCCACCACATAGCAGCACTCCAGCAGCCTTGGCAACAGCCTTCGAGTCTACCTATGGATGGTGATGAAGTTGGTGATGGGGAGCTAACTAAGAGGGGAGAAGTGGCTGGGCGCAGTTGCCGTAATCCTGGAAGGCCGAGGCAGGGGGATCATGAGGTCAGCAGATCAAGATCATCCTGGCCAACATGGTGAAAACCCATCTCTACTAAAAATGCAAAAATTAGACAGGCATGGTGGCATGCACCTGTAGTCCCAGCCACACAGGAGGCTGAGGCAGGAGAATCACTTGAACCCAGGAGATGGAGGTTGCAGTGAGCCGAGATCGTGCCACTGCACTCCAGCCTGGGCGACAGAGTAAGACTCTGTCACCCAAAAAAAAAAAAAAAAAAGAGAAGAGAGGCAATGCAAGAGCTACTGCCTACGAGTGCTTGCTCATTACGGCAGGCTCCAGGTTAGCTGTCTGACATATTTAATCTCGTTTCATCCTTACAACCCCAGCAAATGAAATGACATCCACTCCATTTTACAGATCATGAAATTGGGGCTTGCAGAAGCAAAACTGTCCAGGGTCACAAGGCTAGTAAACAGAGAAGTGGAAATCAGAACCCAAGCCTCCACAACTCTTCCCTCTATCTTCCGCCATCTCTCCACTTTGAGACCCAAGACAGTATCCTGTTTTCCATGTCTTTGCAGGAGGGCAAAAAAGATTTCCATCAACCACAAACATGTATTGTGGGACCACTGTGTATAAATCTCTGCAGAATAAGGATCGACACAGAGGTCACACCTCCTCCCTATAACTTGGCTAGGATAGGAACACAAGTAACGGCATTGAGGGTGGGTGTTCCATGTGTGGGTGTTGGCACCTTCTCTGGTCTCTGCTCTGTTAGCCATGCTTCACTTTAACCCTGAGGACCAAGGTAGGTCACCGGCAATCTCAGGCTCTGCCTGTGCTGCTGCTAACCTGTGCCTACTACACTTCAACTTCATATACACATCACACGCATGCATCATACACACACACACGTGACACACATACTCTCATAATGCTCCACTGAAAGGGCCCAGAAGGAATGACATCTCATCACAGTGACAACACCTACTAGCTAGAAAATGGTTTCCAAATATTACCACAAGCTCCTTGGTACTAACTCCAAATGCAAGGTATTTGGAATATCCTCTAGTCCCGAGAGGTAAGAAAGTATTCAAAGAATAATGGAAAGATAACAAAAGAACATAAACAGCTTAAAGGGGCTCCCGCAGGCCGAATCTGGGACAATTTGAGACAAGTAGGAATGAATGACTATGACTAACTCCAAAGGGGAAGGGAGAGAACATTTCTTTCAGAAGAATTTTACAAGAAATTGTACAAGAAAAAATAAAATTGTACAAGAAATTGGACGACCACCATTTGCAAACCCCAGTGTCCAAGAGGATTCAGGCCATGATCCTCATGGATGCTCAAAGCAGCGGATGGAAAGATTGTCAGGGCACGGGATAGTCACAGGGTCTTACACTGGCACCTCGGAGATGACTGACAAATTAGAAAGGGAAAATGCAAATTCCCCTGCAAAGGAGGAATCTGGCAGTCACCACCTTAACCAAGCGTTCAAACAGAGCCTCGTGAGTAGAGTGCTAACCTGGTGGCTGAGCCTCGAATGCAGTTAAGAACTCCACGTGCCCTGACCAGTATTCTTGCCCAAACTGCAGAACCTGAACCTAAGCATAAGAGAACAGTCAGATCAAGAATGTAGGTCATTCTACAAGACGACTGATCTGGACTCCTCAAAAAGAAATTGTCAAGGTGATGAAAAACAAAATAAAACACACCAGAGGGAAATGGCTTCACCCTCAGTGGAGAAAAATGAGAGCATCTAAAACCTGGTGAACCAGAACACAGGCTATGGATGGGGTTAGGGTGGTTCTGCCTGTACAACAGAATATTACTCAGCCACAAAAAGGAATGGCGTGTTGATCCACACCATGATGTGAATGAACTTTGGAATTCTAGGTGAAAGAGGCCACATGCAAAAGACCACAGAGAGTATGATGCCATTTACGTGAAATGTCCAGAAGAGGCAAACCCACAGAGATAGAAAGTAGATTAAGGGCTGCCTAAGTCTTCAGGGGATTCTATTTGGGGTAATGAAAACGTTCTAAAATTTATTTGATGATGTAAAGATACTAAAAACCACTGAATTGTACATTTTAAATGGATGAATTGTATGGTTAATGTGAATTGTAGCTCAAAAAAGCAGTTTTAAATAGAGAGAGGGAGAAACTAAAGAGACAGCAACCAATGTATCTGTGTGTGAACTTGAGCGGATCCTGGACTGGGGAGAAAGGCAGCTGTAAAAGGGATCTGGGGGCTAGGTATGGTGGCGCACGCCTGTAATCCTAGTGCTTTGAGAGGTTTAGGTGGGAAGATCACGTGAGCCCAGGAGTTTTAGGATGCACGAGCTATAATGGTGTCACTGTACTGCAGCCTGAGTGTACAAAGAAATACCCTCTCTTAAAAAAAAAAAAAAAAGGCATTTTTTTGAGACAATTGAGGAATCTGGAGTGTATACAGCAGGTGGTATTACTGAATTAACGTTTTCTTAAATGTGATGATGGTATCATCATTACATCTTCCCCCTGGAAGATACATTCTGAAATATTTGCATTTAAAACAGTAAGTCAGGAATTTGCCTTAAAATAATCTGGATGG